TTAAAAAATCGAAAAATTTTAAAATTGAGAAATTGAAAACTCAAAAGACTGAAGAAATAAAAATCCGAAGATTAAAAAGCTGAAAAACTGCAAAAACAAAATCGAAAAACTGAAAAAAAAAATCTGAAAATTTGAAAGTCAAGAAATCGAATAAATCATAACTAAAAATCGAGAAATGAAAAACCGAATAATTGAGAAACCCAAAAATTACAAAATTGAAAAATTGAGTCGAGAAATTGAAAAATTATGACAAAGAAAAATTATAAAATTGAGATACCAAAACAAAAAATTGTTCAAAATTAAAAAATTGAGAATTCGAAAACTGAAAAATCGATAAATTTAAAAATTAAAAAACCGAAAACTTGAAAACTTCTAGAAAAAATCGGAAAAATAAAAATTGAAAAATTGCAAAAATAAAAGTTGGAAAACTGAGAGACCAAAAAATAGAAAAACTGAAAAAAAAAAATGAGAAATTGCAAGATCAAGAAATCAAAACGCGAACAATTAATAATCGACAAATGAAAAATTGTCTAATTAAGAAATCCGACAGTTGCAAAATTGCAGAAGTTTGGAAAAAATATAAAATTAAAAACCGAAAAATTGCAAAACTTAAAAATCAAAAAAATTTTAAAATCGAAAAACTGAAAATCAAGAAGTCAAAAAAGTAAAAAATGAAAAATCGGTGATTAAACAATTGAAAAATTGAAAATCAAGATATCGAAGAAGTGTACAGTTAAAGAAAAAATGAAAAATCGGACAACTGAGATTAAATTATAAAATTTAAAAATTAAAATGGCGCCAAATTGAAAGATAGAGAAAACGAAAAGTTGTAAAATAGTAAAATTGAAACATTTAATAATAAAAAATCGAAACATTGCAAAATTGAATATCGAAAAATTTTTAAATTGAAAAAGTGAAAATTTAAAAACTCAAAAAATTGTAGCAATAAAAATCAGAAAATTAAATTAAAAAAATGCAAACATAAATATCGAAAAACTGAAAAATCGAAAACCAAAAGAAAAAAATGTCAAAAAATTGAAAAAAAGAACAATTAAAATCGAGAAATGACAAAACGAATAATTGAGAACTCCAAAAATTACAAAATTATAAAATTTAAAAATTAAAATGGCTCCAAATTGAAAGATCGAGAAGGCGAAAAATTGTAAAAAAGTAAAATTGAAACGAAACATTGCAAAATTGAATATCGAAAAATTTTAAAATTGAAAAAGTGAAAATTTAAAAACTCAATAAATTAGAAAATTACATATTAAAAACTGAAGAACCAAAAACTGAAAAATCGAAAACCGAAAAAAAGAAGAATTCAAAAGTCAAGTAATTGAAAAATTAAGAAAATGAAAAATTGTAAAATTAAAACATTATAAAATTGAAAAATCAAAGTTTTAAAAATTTGAGAATTAAAAAGTTTTAAAATTTGAGAATTGAGAAATTTTAAAATTGAAAAATCGAAAAATTAAAACTGAAAACCTTCAAAAACAAAAAATAGAAAAACTGAAACAAAAATAAAAAATTCAAAAATTTGAAAATCAAGAAATCGAAGAAATGAGTAATTAAAAACGAGAAATGAAAAACCGAATAAATGAGAAATCGAAAAATTACAAAATTGGAAAATTGAAAAGTCGAGAAATTGAAAAATTAAGAAATCGAAAAGTTATAAAATTAATAAAACATCGCAAAATCGAAATTTGGGAATAGAAAAGTTTTAAAATTGAAAAATCGAAAAATCGACTGAAAAAGTAGTCAAAAAATTGAAAAACTGAAAATCAAGAGATTGAAGAAGGGAACAATTTAACCAAGAAATGAAAAATCCGGCAATTGAGAAATCCAAAAATCACAGAATTATAAATGTTAAAAATTAAATGGGCAAGAAAACGAAAAATTGTAAAAATTTTAAAACTGAAAAATCAAAATTTAAAAGCTCAAAAGATTGAGGAAATAAAAATCAGAAAATTTAATATTATAAACAATGCAAACATAAATACCGAAAAACTGAAAAAATGACCAATTAAAAATCGAAAAATGACAAAACGAATAATTATTGAGAAATCTAAAAACTGTAGAAAAATTGAAAAGTCAAGGAATTGAAAAATTAGGAATACAAAAAATTGTAAAATTAAATCATCGCAAAAGCGAAAAATTGAAAAATCGAAAAGTTTTAAAATTTGAGAATTGAAGTTTTAAATTTGAAAAATCGAAAAATTTTAAAATTGAGAAAATAAAAACAAAAAATTGAGGAAACCAAAATCGGAAAATTAAAACTGAAAAACTGCAAAAACAAAAAATAGAAATTAAAAATCGAGACATAAAAAACGAAAATGAGAAACCCAAAAATTCCAAAATTGAAAAATTGAGCCAAGAAATTAAAAAATTAAGAAAAGGAGAAATTGTACAATTAAGACACCAAAATAAAAAATTGTAAATTGAAACGTTCAAAATTCAAAAACTGCGAATTCGAAAATTCAAAAATCGAAAAATGAAAAAATTTAAAAATCGAAAAATTGAAAACTCGAAAGATTGGAAAAAATGGGAAAATTAAAAATTGGAAAATTGCAAAAATAAAAAATTGGAAAACTGAAAGATTAAAATTTAAAAACTGAAAGATTAAAATTTAAAAACTGAAAGATTAAAATTTAAAAACTGAAAAAAAATATATATATTGAAAACCTAAGAAAACGAAAAACCAAAAAATTTTAAAATTAGAAACCCAAAAAATTGAAGAAATAAAAATGGTAAAATAAAAACTGAAAAACTACAAAAACAAAAAATAGAAAAATAAAAAAATCAAGAAATCGAAAAAATTAACAATTAAAAATCGGGAAATGAAGACTGATTAAGTGAGAAACCCAAAAATTACAAAATTGAAGTCAAGAAATTGAACAATTAAGAAAAAGAGAAATTGTAAAATTGAGACTGAAAAATTGTAGGATTCAGGAACATTCAGAATTCAGAAATTAAAAAATTAAAAAACTACAACTATATAAAAATTGCAAAACTGAAACATGAATAAACTGAAAAAAAATGGAAAATTGAAAAATAAAAAAATTGAGAACATCAAAAAACAATTAAAAATCGAGAAATGGAAGGTCGTGTAATTGAGAAATTCAATATTACAAAATTGCAAAATTTAAAAATTAAAGTCAAGAAACTGAAAAATTAAGAAAATCGTAAAATTTAAAAATTGAAATATCGACAAATTTGAAAATTGAAAAACTGAAAATGAAAAGTTTGGAGAAAATCGAAAAATTGCAAGAATGAAAAAGTGAAAATGAAGAGGTAAAGAACGTGAAAAATGAAAAAACAGAAATGAAAAATCGAGCAACTGAGAAATCCAAAAAATTACACAATTACTAAATTTATAAATTAAAAAGGCAAAAAATCGAAAAAATAAGAACCGAGAAACGAAAACAAAATTGAAACATTAAAAAATCAAAAAATTGTAAAATCGAAATATTGCAAAATTGGTAAATTAAAAAGTCAAAAAATTTAAAAATTTAAGATTCCAAAATGAAACGGAAAATTAAAAATTGAATAATTGCAAAAATAAAAAATGGAGAAACTTCAAAAATCGAAAAACTGAAAATCAAGAAGTCAAAAAGTGAAGAATAGAAGAACGAAAAATTAAAAACTGAGCAACTGTGAAATCCAAAAAATTACAAAATTGCTAAATTTATAAGTTAAGAAGTCCAGAAAACGAAAAAATAAGAAAAGAGAAACAAGTTAAATTAAAACATTCAAAAATCTAAAAATTCTAAAATCGGTAAATTAAAAAATCAAAAAATTGAAAAATTTAAAATTCGAAAAACTGGAAAATCGAAAATTTTAAAATTTTAAACTAAAACCTGGAAAATGGAATTCTGAAAAAATTGCAGAAACAAAAAACGGAAAATTAAAAACTGAAAGATTCAAAATCCAAAAATTCTAGAATTAAACAGTGTTTTCCACATTTTTCGCGAAAAATTTTCAAAATTTTGAATACTATTTAAGGTTTTTTGTACAAAATCCGTCTAGATGGCAACGCTGTTAAATGACACTTGACATTTGCGGGAAATTCAATTTCGAATTCAACCGGAGGATCTTTTAACCAGTAAATCAAAATATGTCACCCTGAGATTTTAAAATACTGTTTCAGATTTTGTATTTTGGACAGTGAATTACTATTTTACCATTTTAATTACGTTGTAGCAATCGGTTGTTAATAAAGTTCCAATTAAATATATTTGTAGTTAGCATATTTTGCGTTGCATAAGTAATTTTTTAATTTTTTGTGTTTTATACTATTTATTTTATTGCGTGTATTACTGGTTGCATGAAATACACATGAATTTTTAGGCAAGATAAAATTAAATAAAAAACATTTTAGTTTTGAGTCATCCACACAACTTCTGAAACCATATAATTTTGAAAAATTTTTATAGTGTGACGTCACTGATTACTTGCAAACTTTAGTTTAAGATTATCACGAAGAGATTGATTAGAATTTGTCGACTCATTCTCTCCCAAAAAATGATAATTTATTAAATTATATTATTAGTCTTCTTGACAAAATTTTGAGGTGACGTCACCATGTTTTTGAACGTAATTAAATTAATAAACAAATTTTGGTTGGCGTTTTCCTATCCACATGTCAAACACACTGTTATTATCAATTTTCCGGTATAAATAAATCATTGTTTTGAAAGATAAAAATTTCCAATAGGGAAAACTGATAAAAAATTATAACAGCAATGACATAATTGACCAGACTAAGCTGATGGCAACTTGCATTTTATCGTTTTTATGACATTAAAGTGGCACTCCTTTTTACAATCAATAGCAGAAAAATATAATAAAAATTTTCACTAAACAAACAACGAAAAAACGTCCAATTAAATTTTAGTTCCAAAATTCCCACCACCCCTAATAAACCAAAAATTACGCATCAATCAATATCCCCGGCGCTAAATTTATCAATTCTGCGGCACTTTTCACCTTAATATAGTTAATCAATAATGATGCATGACAACAATCGTTTAGTTAGACACTATTTATTTTGTCAAATGTCGTAAGTCATCATGTTCACCCTCCCGCCGCTCCCGCCCAAGGACTACGTCCTCAAGGACGTCAACCAGAACCAGCGCTCCGTCCAGGAGTTCACCCCCATCGCGCTCCCCCGAATCACCCAGAGCAACCTCCTGAAATACTGCGCCCCCATCGACTACCAAGAAAACGAGAAACTCTCCGACCTGAAAATCGACCACTCGGTCAACCCCCAGCTCCTGGAGCGATGGACCGACAACGTGAGGGCCTACTGGGTGGACAAGCCCGGCAAGAACGACTACTTCCTGCACGACATCTTCAAGAAGTACAGCGTGGAGGTGGTGCCGAGCTACGACGACAGGTTCAAGCACAACGGTGAGTCGCGAAATTAGACAGTTTTAAATAAAAAAAATAATCAGAGCGGGTTTTTTATCGGTCTTTCATTTACGAGCTGGACTGCATGGAGGACGAACGGCTGAAGAAGTTGTACAAGAAGATGGACCGCGAGGAGAAGGAGGAGTTGGAGAAGTACAAAATCATCGAGGAGAAAAATACAAAGAACTTGGATGGTTCGCCCTGTAAGAGCGAGATTCCGTTTTGGTGGAGGCAGGAGGTGGGTGAAGAAGTGGGGGAAGACGTGGCTCCGAAGACGAAAGGGGTTGAGGTGAAGTATGACTATACGGGGATGCGGTGGCAGGAGGAACCGAGTTTGACGGAGTATGCTAAGATGGGTCCTTGCAAAAGGAGGGGCGAAATGGCCTTGTAAGTACTTCCAGGACTCAACACGTGTTTCTAGTACATAGTTAAATTATGCTTAATTTCGTTTTTAAATACATCAGTCGGTGAAAAAAACTGGTTTAGATAATAATTGCATGATGAAAAGTGTTATCTTGATTAAATAGGTTGCAGTATTTTGCACGATAATGGAGCAACTGGTAATAACCAGTTTCCGTGGCCAGGTGTAATTACGTAGTCAGTTTTATGACGCAGAAAGTGTGTTATCATTTTCGTCATTTTGTTATTTAAATTAGGCGAACAACACTGCGGTCGTCATTATTTAAAAATAGGCGATTTCTAAAGAAACATGAAACTGCAGAAATGAAAAATTGTAGTTTTATTTTCTGCAAAATTTGAAATTATTAAGTTTAGTCTAGTGAAGTAAAAATAATTACGAATATAATTTTATCGCCTAAATGATCTGCACTGGTTCTAAATTTACAGTTGTTGAGATAGATCTTCGGATGTGGGTAGACAATGGAAACACTGTTTTGCTCATTTTCCTCAAAAATATGAAGTCGTTAAATTCAGAGATGTTATAATTAAAAAAGTCTTTCGATTCTTCAATTGGAATGGTTTATTATTCCAATTTTTCCATTTTAAAATTTGTTGTTTTTTCAATTCTGAAATTTTTCATTTCTTTTAATATATTCTAAATTTGCGTTCCTTTTTTATTGTATTATCTTAAGTTTTACGTATGACTTTATTTGTTTTATTCTTAGGTTAGTTAAGTTATTTATCTAAAGTTTGCCAACTTTTTGTACTGTTATGTAATAAATTTATCTTATCTTATCTTATTATTAAAATCGTAAATTTGCAAAATTGAAACTTAATAACATATTAATCAAATTTTCAATTCTTAAAGTTCTCTATTTTTCGATGTTTCGATATTTCATTTTCAATTTGAGTTTTTAATGATGAGTTTGAATAGATTTGTTTTTTTTTGTTGAAATACTGAAAAATTCAGAAGTTGAAAAAGCGTAAACTAAAGAATGTAAGAACTGAAAACTCCATAAAAAAAGATTAAAATCGAAAACCAAAAAATCGAAAAGTAGAATAATATACATATTTATAAGACTGAAAAATTGGTCTAAAGAGTTTAGACAGTACTTCCCTCGCTGTCGGAAACTTGACGACTGCATGCCTATTGTGTTTTTTTCTCATTACATTTTTGTAGTGGGAATTTAAAAAAAATTGCGATGACGTCATCAACATTTTTGCAAGGACACGTATATCAGTTGGGATAGATGTAGTGTAATACTAAGAATAAAATTATTGTATTCCCAAATTTTCGGGAAAATGAATTGGGTCGTTTTGAATATTGATTTTTTATAATCAATAAAATAACGAAACAATTTACTCACGTATACGGCAACTGAAAATCGTTTATGTATAAACATTCTTAATTTAAGATGACAAGCGTAACAGCATACGTGCATGAGAGTCAAACAGAGAAACTGTAAACAAAACGACCATCGGTTTTATTGCTTCGACTTCCGCTTATTATATAAAACATTGGGTTTTATTTTAATTCTTGACGGTGAAATTCACAATTGGTTGATTATAAACATGTCTATTTCACATTCGCGGAACCAAGTGAGCGCATAAAACAAATGCAGGTCTGTAATGTTAAAGTCGATGTAAATAAGCGTGCTACCCTTATGTTTCAACCGAGTTTTTCCTTTAACAAATTTTGTGTCTACCAAATTGGGTTGGTTGGGGTGTAATACTAATAATAAGTGTTGCCTTTAATTTAATCAATAAAATAAATTGACTTCATTAATTTTTTTGAACTACCTCTTAAGAAAATCTAAAAAATATGAATGGAATGATAAATCACAAGTACAAACTCATCATATTTTTTGCATTTTAGATAGGATTTATTCAGCAAAATTTAAGGGTGACGTCATCAATTTTTTTAGGAGGGAGGAACAAATACATTTTGAACAAAAGTTTACCATGCTTATAATAACTTTAAAATATTCCCAAGATTTCAAAGCATTCGGTTTTGTAATTCCTGATTAAATCGATAAAATAAATTCACGCCTTCATTAATTTTTTTGAGTCACCCTGCATATGCAAATCCAAAAATATGAATGGAATGATAAATCACAAGTACAGACTCATCATATTTTGTACATTTTAGATACGATTTATTCGGCAAACTTTTGAGCTGACGTCATCAGTTTTTTGTAGAAGATAACCAAATATATTTTGACTAAACATTTATTATGCTCTTTATGACCTTAAAACATCTGCAAGATTTCAGAGCATTCGGTTTTGTAGTTCCTGATTAAATCAATAAAATATATTTACGCATTCATTAATTTTTTTGAGTCACCCTGTATATGCAAATCCAAAAAATATGAATGGAGTGATAAATTACAAGTACAGACTCATCATATTTTTACAGTTTGGATAGGATTTATTCGGCAAACTTTCGAGCTGACGTCATCAATTTTTTGGAGGGGATAAGCAAATATATTTTGACTAAACATTTATTATGCTCTTTATAACCTTAAAACATCTGCAAGATTTCAAAGCATTCGGTTTTGTAGTTTCTGAGTAAATCAGTAAAATAAATTTACGCATTCATTAATTTTTTTGAGTCACCCTGTATATGCAAATCCAAAAAATATGAATGGAGTGATAGATCACAAGTACAGACTCATCATATTTTGTACATTTTAGATATGATTTATTCCACAAACTTTTGAGCTGACGTCATCAAGTTTTTGGAGGGGATAAGCAAATATTTTTTGACTAAAGATTTATGATGCTCTTTATAGCCTTAAAACATCTCCAACATTTCAAAGCATTCTGGTTAGCAGATTAAAAATTAAATTTCAAAATGTTGTTTTATAATTTTGATTTTTTTTCCAAAAATCTGGACGTTTCGGGTGAAAAGTCGATTCAGAGTTGTAAACTACATGTGTAGGACTATGTTATTTTATACAATTGAAAACCCATTTACTATGTACAATTTTGAAGTGACGTCATCGCATTAGTGGTGGGGATGATTATACAAATTTTGGTTAGCGTTTTACCATCTACATGATATTCTTAATATAAGTACAAAATTTCACAACAATCGGTCGAGTACTTTCGGAGATTATCTGTCTAATAAAAATCCGGGACGGCAGACGGACGGACAGACGGACGGACAGACGGACAGACGGACAGACGGACAGACAGACGGAAATGGGAGACCTATTTCTTCGTCTTCTAGGGGTCATGAAAGATCGAGAAAACGTAAAAGTAGAGAGTCGACCGACGGACTCGATTACAATACTTCCTTTGCTTACGCTCGGGAAGTAAAAATTGGACAATCAATTAAAAAGTCAGTGCCAATTTCGATTCTTTGGAACTTTTTGATTTTTTAATTTCTCAGTCATCAATTTTTCAATGATTCAACGACTTTGGAATTTTCGATTTTTCAATGTTTCCTTTTTTCGTTTTTGACTTAAAATAAATGTTCTTTTTGATGAAAAAATTAAAAATAAATCGAATAATGCAAAATATTAAAAAATCCAAAAATGGAAGTAGTTAATCATATAACTGAAAAATTGACTAATCTAAAAATTCAAAAAGCTTCAAGTTTCTTTATTTTTCATTTATTAGTTTTTCCATGATGTTTTAATTTTTTAATTTTGCAATTTTTGGTTTTTTCAGTATCAAAATTTTTTCATTTTTTCTATTTTTCAGTTTTTGATTTTTCAATTGACCGATTTTTTCAATTTTTCGAGTCTTCATTTTAGTTTTTCGATTTATTAACATTGGAATTTTTGATATTTTTCAATGTTTTTTTTTGTTTTTGAGTTTACATAAATTGTTCTTTTTCACGAAAAAATGAAAAATTAAAAGTCGAACAATCCAAATGTTGAAAGATCGAAAAATTAAAAATGTTATAATATTAGAAACTCAAAAAATTGTATAATCTAAAAATTAAAAGATCGAAAAATGGAAGTCTTTAATCATAAGATTGAAAAATTGACTATTCTAAAAATTCAAAAAAGTTTCAAGTTTCTTTATTTTTCATTTATCAGTTTTTCGATAATTTTTCAATTTTTCAATTTTACAATTTTGGTTTTTCAATATCCAAATATTTTGTTTTTCGTGCTTTCAATTTATCGATTTTTAAATTTCTCTATTCTTAAATTTTTTGATTTTTCAATGATTAATTTACAATTTTGAAATTTTTCATTTGCTTATTTATTAGATTTTTCAATTTTCCGATTCTGTGGAATTTTTTAATTTATACTTCCTCGATTTTTCATTTATCAATGATTCAATGTTACGACTTTTGTGTTTTCAATTTCTAGATATTTTTGTTTTTCGTTTTGTCCATTTTTCGATTTTTCACTTATTGATATTTCAGTTTTTTGTCCGATTTTAAATGTTTCTACATTTTCAATTTTTAGATCTTTCATTTGAGATTTTCGATTTTTTAACTCTCGAATTTTTAATTTTACTATTTTTTTGTTTTTGAGTTTAAATAAATTGGTCCTTTTGATGAAAAAATGAAAAATTAAAAGTCGATCTATTCAAGAGTTGAAAAATCTAAAAACTAAAAAATCATCAATTTTTCGATAATATTTCAATTTTTCAATTTTTACAATTTTTGGTTTTTCAATATCTAATTATTTTTGTTTTTCGGTTTTTCAATTTTTCAATTTTTCGAATTTTCAGTTTTTGATTTTTCATTTGTCCGATTTTTAAATTTCACAATTTTTCCGACTCTTCGTTTTTTCAATTCTGAAATTTTCCATTTTCTTGTTTATTACAATTTTGCATCATTTGATTTTTAAAATATAAGTTCAATAAGATTTGTTCTTTATGTCGAAAAAAATGAGAAATTCAAAATCGAGAAATTTTTGATTTTTCAATTCCCCGATTTTTTTTTTCATCAATTTTTCAATGGTTTTAATATTCCAGTTTTTTCCATTTTATAATTTTTTGTTTTTTCGGTTTTTGTTCTATTAATTTTTGATTTTTCGTTTTTTGGTTTTTCAGTTTTTGATTTTTCAGTTGTCCGGTTTTTAAATTTCTCTACTTTTTCAATTTCAATTTTGCAATTTTTCGTTTTCTCAGTTATCCGATTTTTCAGTTATTTTATTTTTCATTTTCTAGATTTTTTGATTTTTCATTGTTGTACAATTTCACCAGTTTCGAATAAATGTGTTCCCTTTATTGAATAATTTCAAAAATCGATAAATTGAAAGATTCAAAATCGGAAATTTGCAAAATCGAAAAATTTTGAAGCTGAAAATGGAAAAACTAAAAAAATTGATAAGAATGGAAACACAAAAAATTTTAAAATCGATAAATCTAAAAAAAAAACGAAAAATGGACTAATTTAAACATGAAATTGAAGAATCTAAAATTAAAAAAATCAGTGCCAGTTTGGATTTTTCAATTTCTCTTTTGTTATCAACTAATTTTTCGATGTTTCAGTATTGGACTTTTAGGCTTTTACAACTTTTTGTTTTTTCAATTTTCGTTTTGTTTGATTTTTCAAATTCTCTATTTTTCAATTTTGTATCATTTAATTTTTAAAATATCAGTTTAATAAAACTTGTTCTTTTTGTTGAAAAATTTAAAATCAAAAATTTCTGAATTTAAAAATTCAAAAAATTAAAACTATGTTATAATACCTACTGGAAATTCAAAAAATCACAGTCAAAAAATCGTAAAATCACAAACTAAGAAATCGAAATATCAGATAATTTAATCATAAAATTGGAAAATTGCCTAATTTCTTAGACATTCAGAAAGTGGGAGCCAATTTCGTTATTTCAGTTTCGGAATTTTTTGATTTTTCAATTTCCGGATTTTTTGTTCATCGGTTTTTCGATGGTTTATTATTTAAATTTTTCCAATTTCAAGTTTGTTGTTTTTTCGATTTCTAGATATTTTTGTTGTTATTTTTTCAATTTTTGATTTTTCAATTTTAAATTTTTTATAGTTTGGTTTCTTTAACGTTTTGATTTTTCAGTGTTTGTTTTTCCAATTTTAAAATTTTTCATTTTTTTAATTGTCCAATTTTTCGGTTTTTCAATTCTTTTTGTTGGAAAAATGATAAATTTAATCAAGAATTTGAAACATTAAAAATCGAAAAATTACAAAATCGAAAACTTAATAAAATATTAATGCAGTAATAAAACATCAAAAAAGGAATAATTTAATCTAAAAATTGAGGAATATAAAATTCAAAAAGTCGGTGTCAATTTCAGTTTTTCAATTATGCAATTTTTCAAATTTTCAATTCTTGATTTCCTGTTCACTTAAATTTCTCTATTTTTCGATTTTTCGATATATCATTTTCAATTTGAGTTTTTAATGGGTTTTTTGAAAAATCGAAAACTAGAGAATATTAAAGTATGTGTATTGAAAACGCAGCAAAAAAATTTTAAAATCGAAAAATTCAATTATAATTGGAATAATGTATTCAAAAAAATCGGTACCAATTCCGATTCTTTGGAACTTTTTGATTTTTTGATTTCTCGATTTTTCAATGATTCAATGTTAGGATTTTTCCATTTTACAATTTCTAGATATTTTTGTTTCTCGTTTTGTCAATTTTTCGATTTTCCAGTTTTTTAATGTTTCAATTTTTCAATTTTGCAAGTTTTGATTTTTTCAATATCTAAATATTTTTGTTTTTCATTTTTTCGTTTTTCAGTTTTACCATTTTTTAGTTTTCGATTTTTCAACTGTCCAATTTTAAAATTTCTCTATTTTTTCAATTTCTCGAGCCTTCATTTCAGATATTTCAATTTTTAAATTTTGTTTACAATTTTTGATTTTTCTATGATTCATTTTTTCAATTTTGAAATTTTTCATTTTTGTATCATTTAATTTTTAAAATATCAGGTTAATAGAATTTGTTCTTTTTGTTGAAGAAATAAGAAATTCAAAATCGAGAATTTGAAAAATTAAAAATCAAAAAAGTCACAAGTTAAAAATTCGAAAAATATTTTTTTTATAGTACTGTAAACTTAAAAAATCACAGTCAAAAAAAATATAAAATATCGGATAACTTAATCATAAAATTGGAAAATTTTGAATTTTCAATTTCCTCATTTTTTGTTCATCAATGTTTCAGTGGTTTAATATTTCAATTTCTCGATTTTAAATTTCTCTGGTTTTTAATTTTTTGTTCTATAAATTTTTTTGAGTTTTCAGTTGTTCGATTTTTAAATTTCCCTATTTTTTTCAATTTTTGAACCTTTGATTTCAGATGTTTCAATTTTTTAATTCTGAGACAAGATGAGACAGCAATGCTTCGAATTTTCAAAATATCAGTTTCAATAATTTTTTTTTGTTGAAAAATTGAAAAATTCGAAATCGAGAACTTGCAAAATTAAAAATAGAAAACTTGTAAAATTGAAGAACTCAGAAGCTGAAAAATTAAAAAATGTTACAATATTGAAACCTCAAAAAATTTAAACGAAAAAAAAAGTGAAATCGAAAACTGGAATAATTTAAAAACTGAAAAATTTAAAAAGTCAAAAATCCATCACAAATTGCGGAAATAACTGACTAATGTTCGTAAATAAACCGCCCGGAAAAGAATTTTTATTAAGTGATGATTTTAATTTCCGGAAATTTCAACCATTGACTGTTGCGTTCTGTTTGAAGTGTAACTATGGAAATAATGACTAAAATAATTCCCAGTCCAGGATCTCTAGAAGGGGAACTAACTGTCTAAGCTCCCTCTTCCCCCTTTGCCCTTTTCCAGGGTCGGCAAGCCCTTCCGCAGCGAGGCCTGCAACTGGTACTACAGCCACTATCCTCCCCCCAACATCCGCTTCGTCCACAAAAGATTCACCTAACACCAACAATGATAAATAAAAAATTCCCTAGCACCACCTTTGTTTCACTCACTGACATTTCAACCCCAAACTAAATTAAAATGTCAAAATAGCTCCAAAATTATCCGTAAATTATGGAAAAATTAGCAACCGAAAACCTCTTCCTCCTCGAATTCCTCGTCGACGATGTCAAGATGGACGGCCGCTGCGACTGCGACACCCCTCCAGGCGAGCACTGCGTCTCCTTCCAGTTCTTAGACAACGACCCTCTGGAGGTATGCGAGGCGGACTTCTCTCCAGCCCGCAAATACGGCAGGGAAGAGAACATCAAAAGCGGTAAATCGTGCCTGTTTTCTTTGACACCGGAGCAAGTACAGAAGGCCTTGGAGGTCTTCGACGTCATGATCACCGTGTTCAAGAAGATGCAACCTGGATGGCTCCCGGAGAAGATCTGCATAGGCTCGGCGTTGGTGTCCATCGCAAATTTGTTCGTGGAGTTGATCCGGTGCGTGGAGCTGCAGGCGGAGCAAGGACCCTCGGCGAAGACACTGAAGGACACCTTCAAGCTGCTGGACTCGGTGGGGACTTGTGTGGGGAAAGTGAGCATCTATGTGAGGATGTCGTGCTTCGGGAAGTTGATAGTAACACAGTTTCAGGTAGGAACTGTGATCGAATTTTAAAGGTCCCCATTTTTATTTCTCTCGACAGATGAACCTCCAGGACCAGTCCGTCCTTTTCAAGGACAAAGGTGGCCAGTCCTTGTACCGGTACAAGAAGGCCAAAAAGGAGTCCGAGCAAGTATGTACCCCATATTCCCCAGCGGCTGTAGCTTCAGCGTCGCCCGCTCCCGTTGGCGGCGACTCGTCCCCCGTTGGCGGCGACGCTGGTCAGGACTTCCAAATGGGGGCGAATTTCAACCAGCCGCCTCAAATGTCCCAGATGTACCCACCCCCGAACCTGAACTGTCCCAACGTGCCGTGCTTTCCGGGAGACCCGGGCATGTATGGTTCCCCGTTCCAAGATATGGGTATGGGAATGGGTGGCATGGGAGGCATGAGTGCTATGGGGGGCATGGGAGGTATGGGTATGGGCATGGGGATGATGCCCCCTCCGAATTCCCCCCAGTCTGGCACCTTCGGCTCCCCATCCGCCGCCCTCCCGTGCAGCGAGTGTACCATGATGATGAACATGCCACCCATGGGGGGACCGATGGGGGGACCCATGGGCGGGTCCCAACAGCCCCCATGTCTGGCCCCAGGTAACTCCCAAATGCTCACACCTTGTGAGGAGTGCGGCACACTTCTGCCCCCACAATTCAAATCAGACGTGATGAACTGCCCCAGTTTGCCGCCTCCAGACCCCCCTGGAAACTACCAAGAGATCGGGGCAAGCATGGGCGGAAACGCCCTCACAATTAGGGTGCACAAAGACAAGAATAAAATCGAACAGGTAAATAGCAAATCTGGGAGTATTTTTCTCCCTACTTGTGTCTTCTAGGTGGAGTGTGACTCCGTTGGTGGTGGCAGTGGAGGCAGCTGCTGCTGCTCCCCCGGGAACATCGGCGTCCGACGTCCCAAAAAAGACGTCCCTTGTCCCGCCACGCCCACCCAGGCCTACGATATGCGTCCCGGTGTGCAACAAGGGGACAAGAACCTCCCTTTCTCCTTCAAGATGGGAGGGGCGGGTTGCGCTCCCGATAACAACGTCGTCGTCAACCCCCCCGTGTGCACCAGACCCGACGGCACGAAGTTTACCGAAATTACGGACCCGAACAAGGAGATGTTCGTGTTGAGGATAGGTAAGAAGAGCGAGGGGGTGCAGAAGAAAGCGAACTTGGAGTTGGAGCTGTGTACGCCAAGAGGGCCAGAATTGAAGCCCATTCCGAAGAAGGAGACGAGGGATAGTCAGTACGACCCTGCGGACTGTAAAGCGGAGACAGAGAAGGGTGGGAAAGGGAAGAAGGGGAAAGGCGACAAAGGAGGGAAAAAAGGGAAAGGAGGAAAAGGGAAGAAAGGGAAGAAGAAATGATTGGGTGGCCGGACTTGATTTAGTGACTTAGTTTGAGTGGTGGTAATAAGTTGTTGGGGTTGAGTTTGTGTTTGTTCGTTTGTTTGTTCTTTGTGTAATTTAAGAATAAATTTGAGAGTAGTCTACATTTTTTTAAATAATTAGTGGTTGTTGTTGGGATTCGTTGTATCATTGTATCAAAAATTAAGGAAAATTATTTATGATGTGGTTAAATTTAAAGAATAAGTGAAGTTTTTGTAATAAATTGTTTACTGAAAGCGTAAGAAAGATTCCTGGACTAATATTTTGTGTATAAGTTGATAAACAATAAATCTAGTGCCGCTTTTGAATCTTCGAAAAGATAATTACATCATTGCTAAAGAAAGTAAAAGGAAAAGGTCGAAGGGGGAATCTGTGTGGAACTCCGAATATTATTTTTCGGTTAAAACGATTTCCCGACAGTGCAATTATAAAGAAAAATCAACTCAAACGACTATATATAAATCGCATACATGCTTCAGTTTAAGTAAAAGTATATAGAATTAGAAGGAATAACTGATAATGAATTATAATAGAGAAGCATTTCACTTAACAAGAAACTAGACATTTAGAAACAAGAATTATACCGACATGGTTACCCACAGTACCCACAAGTAAATTAAATGACTCATTTTCACGTAATCGATTAAATTAATTTGTTCATAAATTTTAATAAAGATAAATAAATAAATAAATCTTATTTATATTATTTAAAAATTGTTGTGATCACTAATGTCTGAAGGACTGCAACATCCTGAACGTGCCCTGTTTTGTCCTTCCACGTCGTTGAAAGAATCTCTTGTGTTCTATTTTCCGTTGAATTTGAAAGAATCCCGTTGTTTTATCCTTCGATGAAGTTGAAAGAGTCTCAGAGAAGAGACTTCCGGTGTTTTATTTTCCGATCATGTTGGAAGGATCTTAGGGGCTGTTGGTGTTTTATTATCCCATAAGGTTAAAATAATCTCAGAGGCTCTTGTTGTTTTACTTTCCGATGAGGTTGACAAAATTTCGGGGTTTCCTGATGTTTTATCCTTCGTTGAGGTTGAAAGTGTCTTAGGACCCTCAGGTGTTTTATTTTCCGATAAAGTTGAAAGAATCTCAGGGCTCCTGGTGTTTTATTTTTCGATGAGTTTGAAAGAATTTCAGACCCTTCTGGTGTTCGATTTTCCGATAAGGTTGGAAGAGTTTCAGGGGATCCTGGTGTTTTATCCTTAAGAGTCTCAAGGGTTCCTGGTGTTTTATTTTTCGATAAAGTTTAAAGAATTTCGGGTGGCTCTGGTGTTTCATTTGTTTTATGTTTAAAGAATCTCGGGAGCTCTCGATGGTTTATTCTTCGATGAGGTTGAAAAAGTCTCAGGAGCTTCTGGTGTTTTATTTTCCCATAAGATAGAAAAAATCTCAGGACCGCCATGTTTGTTATTTTTCGATGAGGTTTAAAGAGTCTCGGAGGTTATTTTATTTCCCGATGAGGTTGAAATAATGTCTGGGGCTTCTGGTATATTATCGTTCGATGAAGTTGAAGAAATCTCAGGGGCTTCTGGCGTTTTATTTTCCGATGAGATTGAAAGAATTTCAGGGGCTTCAGGGATTTTCTTTTTTGAAGAGGTTAAAAGAATCTCGGAGGCTCCTGGTGTTTTATTTTTCAATGAGGTTAAAAGAATCTCAGAGGCCCCTAGTGTTTTATTTTTCAGTTGAAAGAATCTCGGGGGCTTCTGGTGTTTTCCGATGAAGTTGAAAGAATCTCGGGAGTTCCAAGTGTTTTATACTTCAATAAGGTTGAAACTGTCTCAGGGGCTTCTGGTGTTTTATTTTCCGATGAGTTTAAAAGAATGTCAGAGGCCCCTAGTGTTTTATTTTTCAGTGAGATTGAAAGAATCTCGGGGGCTTCTGGTGTGTTATTCTTTGATGAGGTTGAAAGAGTGTCAGGGGCTTCTGGTGTTCTATGCTTCGATGAGGTTGAAAGTGTCTTAGGAGCATCTGGTGTTTCATTTTTCGGTGAGGTTGAAAGAATCTCGGGGGTTCCTGGTGTTTCATTTTTCGGTGAGGTTGAAAGAATCTCAGGGGTTCCTGGTGTTTTATTCTTAGATGAGGTTGAAAGAGTGTCAGGGGCTTCTGGTGTTTTATTTTCCGATAAAGTTAAACGAATCTCAGAGACCATTGGTGTTTTATTTTTCAGCGAGATTGAAAGAATCTCCGGGGCTTCTGGTGTTTTCCAATGAGGGTGAAAGAATCTCGGGAGTTTCAAGTGTTTTATCTTTCAATGAGGTTGAAAGTGTCTCAGGGGCTTCTGGTGTTTTATCCTGCGATGAAACTGAAAGTCTCTGGGGCTTCTGGTGTTTAATTTTCCGATGAGGCTGAAAGAATCTCGGGGGTTCCTGGTGTTTTATTCTTTGATGAGGTTGAAAGAGTGTCAGGGGCTTCTGGTGTTCTATGCTTCGATGAGGTTGAAAGTGTCTTAGGAGCTTCTGGTGTTTCATTTTTCGGTGAGGTTGAAAGAATCTCGGGGGTTCCTGGTGTTTCATTTTTCGGTGAGGTTGAAAGAATCTCAGGGGTTCCTCGTGTTTTATTCTTCGATGAGGTCGAAGGAGTGTCAAGGGCTTCCGGTGTTTTATTTTCCGATGAGGTTGAAAGAATCTCGGGGGTTCCTGGTGTTTTATTCTTTGATGAGGTTGAAAGTGTTTAAAGGACTTCTGGTGTTTTCCGATAAGGTTGAAAGAATCTCGGGAGTTCCAAGTGTTTTATCCTTCAATGAGGTTGAAAGTGTCTCAGAGGCTTCTGGTGTTTTATCCTTCGATGAGGTTGAATGTATCTCAGGGACTTCAGGTGTTTTATTTTCCGATGAGGTTGAAAGAATCTCGATGATTCCTGGTGTTTTATTCTTCGATGAGGTTGAAAGAGTGTCAGAGGCTTCTGGTGTTTTATTTTCCGATAAAGTTAAACGAATCTCAGAGACCCCTGGTGTTTTATTTTTCAGCGAGATTGAAAGAATCTCCGGGGCTTCTGGTGTTTTCCGATGAGGGTGAAAGAATCTCGGGAGTTCCAAGTGTTTCATCTTTCAATGAGGTTGAAAGTGTTCAGGGGCTTCTGGTGTTTTATCCTGCGATGAAACTGAAAGTCTCTGGGGCTTCTGGTGTTTAATTTTCCGATGAGGCTGAAAGAATCTCGGGGGTTCCTGGTGTTTTATTCTTTGATGAGGTTGAAAGAGTGTCAGGGGCTTCTGGTGTTCTATGCTTCGATGAGGTTGAAAGTGTCTTAGGAGCTTCTGGTGTTTCATTTTTCGATGAGGTTGAAAGAATCTCGGGGGTTCCTGGTGTTTTATTCTTCGATGAGGTTGAAAGAGTGTCAGGGGCTTCTGGTGTTTTTTTTTCCGATAAAGTTGAGGAATCTCAGAGACCCCTGGTGTTTTATTTTTCAGCAAGGTTGAAAGAATCTCCGGGGCTTCTGGTGTTTTATCCTTCGATGAGGTTGAAAGTGTCTGAAGGGCTTCTGATGTTTTCCGATGAGGTTGAAAGAGTTCCAAGTGTTTTATCTTTCAATGAGGTTGAAAGTGTGTCAGGGGCTTCTGGTGTTTTATCCTGCGATGAGACTGAAAGTGTCTCAGGGGCTTCTGGTGTTTTATTTTACGATGAGGCTGAAAGAATCTCGGGGGTTTCTGATGTTTTATTCTTTGATGAGGTTGAAAGAGTGTCAGGGGCTTCTGATGTTTTATGCTTCGATGAGGTTGAAAGTGTCTTAGGAGCTTCTGGTGTTTCATTTTTCGGTGAGGTTGAAAGAATCTCGGGGGTTCTTGGTGTTTTATTCTTTGATGAGGTTGAAAGAGTGTCAGGGGCTTCTGATGTTTTATGCTTCGATGAGGTTGAAAGTGTCTCAGGAGCTTCTGGGGTTTTATTTTCCGATAAGGTTGAAAGAATCTCGGGGGTTCCAGGTGTTTTATTCTTAGATGAGGTTGAAAGTGTCTCAGGAGCTTCTGGGGTTTTATTTTCTGATAAGTTTGAAAGAATCTCGGGGGTTCCAGGTGTTTTATTCTTAGATGATGTTGAAAGATTATCAGGGGTTTCTGGTGTTTTATTTTCCGATGAGGCTGAAAGAATCTCTGGGGCTTCAGGTGTTTTATTTTCCGATGAGGTTGAAAGAATCTCGGGGGCTTCTGGTGTTTTATCCTTCGATGAGGTTGAAAGAATCTCGAGAGTTTCAAGTGTTTTATCTTTAAATGAGCTTGAAAGTGTCTCAGGGGCTTCTGGTGTTTTATCCTTCGATGAGGTTGAAAGTGTCTCAGGAGCTTCTGGTGTTTTATTTTCCGATAAGGTTGAAAGAATCTCGGGGGTTCCAGGTGTTTTATTCTTAGATGAGGTTGAAAAAATCTCAAGTTCTTGTGGTGTTTTATTCTTCGATGAGGTTGAAGCTGTCTCAGAGGCTTCAGGTGTTTTGTTTTCCGACAAGGTTGAAAGAATTTCAGAGGCACCTGGTGTTTTATTTTTCAGGCAGGTTGAAAGAATCTCGGGGGATTCTGGTGTTTTATCCCTCGATGAGGTTGAAAGTGTCTGAAGGGTTTTTGGTGTTTTTTTTTCCGATGAGGTTGAAAGAATCTCGGGAGTTAAAGGTGCTTTATCATTCAATGAGGTTGAAAATGTCTCAGGAGCTTCTGGTGTTCTATCCTTCGATGAGGTTGAAAGTGTCTCAAGAGCTTCTGGTGTTTTATTTTCCGATGAGGTTGAAATAATCTCGGGGGCCCTGGTGTTTTATCCTTCCATGAGGTTGAAAGTGTCTCAGGGGCTTCTGGTGTTTTACTTTTCGATGAGTTTGAAAGAATCTTGGGAGTTCCAAGTGTTTTATCCATCAATGAACTTGAAAGTGTCTCAGAGTTTATGGTGTTTTATCTTTCGATGAGGTTGAAAGTGTCTCAGGAGGTTCTGGTGTTTTACTTTTCGATGAGTTTGAAAGAATCTTGGGAGTTCCAAGTGTTTTATCCATCAATGAACTTGAAAGTGTCTCAGAGGCTTCTGGTGTTTTATCTTTCGATGAGGTTGAAAGTGTCTCAGGAGGTTCTGGTGTTTAATTTTCCGATGAGGTTGAAAGAATCTCGGGGGCTCCTGGTCATTTATCCCTC